AAAAAAATTTTTTTAACTAATAAACCATCAATTAAACATTCACTACAACCTTTTCCATAATGAGCACTACATGAAAATCTCATACTTCAATAACTGACTCCTTGTTTTAAACAGAATTAGAAAACAGGCAATAGTAATAAGAACTGTCTTTCTGAAGGGTACAAGATGCCACAGTGGGTTTTTGTTTCATTGAGTCTAGCATTGATCATTAGAGTGGTAGCAATTTGAATTTTGATCTTACTAAGTTTTTTCTGTGGACTAAGAAACGGTTACATTTAGCATTCTGATAAGGGCATGAACATTGGTGTCAGACTTCCCTGGGCTTATCTCTCAGTCCTGCCACTTAGTAGCTTTGTGGATTTGTACTGAACACTTTTCTGAGCCCACTTTTCCCACCTATAAAATGAGGGTAAAAGTGTTGTTCATCTGAAGTTATTGAAGGGTGAAATGAAACAGTGTATACAAATGGCTTATACAGAATCACAGTTAAGAGCTTAATAATTTTTTTAAAACAGTAGTGGCAGTGTTTGTTATTAATGTTAATATTGTTGTTGGCATCATCATCACTAAAATTCCTGCCTTGATTTCCTGGTTGAAAGAATATTCCACAGACTCTGACTTGCTTCTTGGCATCTATATCTGATTTAATTGGTTTGGTAAAACTGTAATTTCAGCCTCACTGATTATTGTTGTTCAAGAAGCAATAGAGACTGTATTTTCTAATAGTCTTTTTTTCCCCTATTTCAGTTGGTGGGTTACTACAATCAAAGTTTACTAGTGGAACTTTTCTTTCACCAAGTGCCTCTGTACAAGAATGTCGTACTCCCAGAGCAGCATCTTTGATGACTATCCCATCCACATCTCCTTGGTCTGTCCCTCCACCCCTGACCTCTGTGTTTACAGTGCCCAGCCCAGCCCCTGAAGTTCAGTTGAAAACTGTGGGTACACGCAGACAACCAGGCCTAGTCCCTCTTGAAAAGTCTGTCACCTATGGCAAGGGGAAACTCTTGATGGACATGGCCCTATTTATGGGACGCTCATTTCGAGTTGGTTGGGGCCCCAACTGGACTCTTGCTAATAGTGGAGAACAGCTGAGTGGCTCTCATGAACTGGAAAATCATCAGATTGCCGATTCTATGGAATATGGATTCCTGCCTAATCCAGTAGCTGTTAAATCGTGAGTCACAATTTCCTTATGCTTTTTGAGAAAGACAACTTGGTAGGTAAGAAAAACCTATTCATTGTCAGGAGACCCAAAGTCAAGGCCCTGCTTTGTGATCTTTCTAGAAATGTTTTTACTATAACTTTAGACAGCAGAAGATCTTTGTATAATTAAAAACTAAACTGATTAATAAGATAACTCCATTTGTATCATCAAGGTGTGAAGAGTATATAATACTTAATGGTTAAACTTTATTTGGAAATGTAACAGACTCAAAGCTGATTTTTTTTTTCATCCTTTTTATTACATTAGTCTTTTTTTCCTATTTTCTCACTTAGATATTTATGTTTTTTTCATATATAAGGTATATTCTCAAATAAGCACATTTCCTGTATTTTGGGCCTTGTAAGGTGAATGTATAAATTGTGTATAATCCATGCATAAAATATTTGGAAGTAAGATGACATCTGATAGGGGCTCCTGGCTGGCTCAGTCAGTAGAGCACATGCTTGATCTTAGCTTTGTGAGTTCAGGCCCCACATTGGGTGTAGAGCTTACTTTAAAAAAAAAGAAAAAGATGACATCTGGTAACTATTATGTTACATATTACTACATAATCCCCACCGTTAACATTTATATGTGTGTGCTTACAGTTCTATATACTTTGTATATGTGTATATGTATGAGTGTGCGTGTGTGTGTGTATATATGTATATCTCAGGCAGATGATATATGTATAGTTCCTGGTAGTTATTAGTATGCATACAGTTTTTTTGTGCAAAATATATAACGTTTTCCTATTTACTTTGTATAACACATTGTGCTATCTTTATTACAGATTAAATGACTGTGATTACCTGTTATGCTTAGTTTTTAAAGTTGACTTTGAAGAAATACAAAACAACAGCATCTCTTGAACCTCACAATTAGTAATGTTGATCCTAAACCTAGTTTATGCATGACATCGTATTTTGAAAGTTGTTAAAATCGAATCAAGGCCAGATTGATTATATACTCGTCTTAATTTAGAGTCAGTTCTACAGTATTTATGAGCTTAGCCTCATGACTTTGATACCTTACTAAGTGTAATTTGAGAAATCAGTATCCCACAGTGGCTTTTGGCCCTTAGATTTCATAGTATCTAGATACGTGTTGAAGCCAGTTCCAAGTCGAATTGTATTGATTCGCATGCTTGTTATAACCTGGCTTTAAGAAGCCTTTGGATTCTGAATGCGTGGGCCAGGTAATTTGTTTACTTATTATATAGCAAATAAGTTCATTATAGTTTGACATTAGGAAACACAATTTCTGTAAAAACAGGGAAATGTTTGTCATTCCCTTTGTAACCATAAAAAGAAAGGTTTGTAGGAAAATTCTAGCATCTGTCTTATCTTCATTTTCTGTCTTGTTTGTCATTTGCCCTTGTAGCCTTACTGAGTCTCCATTCAAAGTTCATTTGGAAAAACTCAGTTTGAGACAAAAGAAGCCGGAGGAAGACCTGCAGTTATACCAGATACCTCTGGAGCTCAAATTAAAACATAGCACTGTCCATGTGGATGAGCTGTGTCCTCTCATTGTCCCTAATCCAGGAGTTGCTGTCATTCATGACTATGCAAATTGGGTTAAGAAAGCATCAGGAGACTTTCTGGAAGCACAAAGTGAGTATGGACTGTTTTCTATTCTAACCTTTGATGTTTCAGGAACTGCCATAGAAGCATGTGTTCATAGGAGGACAAGTTTCCTTAAGCCAATGTAGTGAGCAGATGCCTGAGCTCACACTTTTCTGCAGTTGAGTTGGAATGAGCAAAATCTCAAGGAAGGAGAAATGATAACATTTTTGCAATTTACTCGTATGGCTTTTAACATACAAGTCCTTGTTTATAGGAACTATAGCCAAATTCCTTGGATTTTTGAAATTGCATTCCTTCTTCCACCCAGAGAACATAGGGAGAAAAAGCCATTCCTTCTTGCTTTTCTAAATCCTACCCATTCTTCCATGTCCAGCTTAAGTACCACTTGGTTTTCCCAACAATTTAATGTTCATAACTTCCCTTCCTAACCTCTCCATTACCTTTCTATTACCATTGTGACCATGGTTTTCTAAACCAATACTTTGATAAAGGGCTTTTCTAATTTGGGAATTTACTATTTCAAATCGTAGAAAAATTATATTTTACCTTTCATAATATTTCACCATTATTGAAGAATGGCCACTCTTTTATTTTATCATTATTATTATTATTTTTTAAGATTTTATTTATTTATTTGAGAGAGAGAGAGCACATGAGAGGGGGGAGGGTCAGAGGGAGAAGGAGACTCCTGCTGAGCAGGGAGCCCGATGTGGGACTCGATCCAGGGACTCCAGGATCATGACCTGAGCCAAAGGCAGTCGCCTAACCAACTGAGCCACCCAGGCGCCAAAGAATGGCCACTCTTTTAAACTGTTCCATGCCACACATTTTGAGAATTGTATATATTCATTTCTTTGTGTTTCCTTCAGTTGTCTAATCTTCTTTTCAAGCATGTGTGCCATCTTCCCAATGTATACTTGTATTTGGCTTAGTGGTAAGCAGTGCTTCCATTTTGTTTTCCTTCCTGAGGAGCAATATGAATAGTAGTTAAGAACGTAGAGTAGGACTCAGATTACTTGGGTTCAAATCTTGGCTCTGCTACATGTTGCCTGTAACTTTGAGCAAGTTACTTAATGCTCTGTACTTCAGTTTCCTCATCTGTAAAATGAAGATGGTAACTCCTGTATAGTTACCTCGTGTAGTTTAGAGTTGGCTTTACTCTTAAGTGCTTTCAGCAGTGGCATTTAGGATCATTAAGTGTTAGGCCATGCCTACTACAGGAGAGAAGACTCCCTCACAAGTTTTTAGAGCACTGAATATTTCTTAAAGCATTTTGCAAACAGAATTTAATCAAATTGGAAGACTTTTCTCTGTCATTTGAGATTATATTAGCCATAATGCAGCTATAAGAACCTGTTTAAAGGAGCATAGGGCTAACATTTGTTATATAAGTACCACAGGAATATGGAATGAACAAGCAGTTATACTACACACCTCTGGAACTTGTAAGACACAGCAGAGTGAGCTGGAGACAGAGTAAGGGAAATCAGCTTGAGTGGTTGTTTGGGGTATTTATTAATTTATGTATTTTAATGCACAGTTAAATGATGTCCTCTTTGTAGGTACTTTGACTTCATGTCATAGCATTGTTTTCCTGTCCCTTCTTTAGTTGTGAAGCACTGGAGCCTAACATGGACATTATGTGAAGCCTTATGGGGCCACCTGAAGGAGCCTGACAGCCAGCTGGATGAGCCTAGTGAATACATTCAGATTCTGGAGCGAAGAAGAACTTTTTCTCGCTGGCTATCCCAAACTGCTGCACTTCAAATTGAGGAGGAAGTCTCCTTAACCAGAAAAGACAGGCCCGTGGAGGCTGTCTTCAGCTACCTCACGGGCAAGAGGATCAGTGAAGCCTGCTCTCTGGCCCAGCAGTCAGGTAGGGCATATGGTCCTTCTCTGCACCCTTATCTACATCCTACTCACCAGTGGTCCCTACCCCTTAACTATAGATTTGCCTTTGTCTTCTAACCTGAAGTAAGTATAAACTTCCCAGGAAGATTGCTGGTTCCTCCAGAATAGGGACTGTGTTTTCTAGTTTTCTCTTTAGAACCTTAAGCATTAAGTTTATTTAATTAAAATTATTTTAATTTTGTATGCTACATATGCATTTGTAGTAAAACTAGAAGATACAGATAAGCAAAAAGCAATAAACCCAAATCACATAAATCCTTTAGTATTTACTATATACATTTCAATGTACAGCTTGTACTTGGACTGTTTACTTTGTAATATATAAGGTATATTAAAATTAGTGTACACAAAGCAACATATGTGTGTAAACTTTTCAAAGATGGTACCCTGCTACATATATATGTATATGTAGTGTTCTTTTCATGTTCTCTAATACAGATATTATAGTCAAATGCTTTTCAGTATTCTTTTATCTACAAATGTACCATGTTAGCGAATTCCTTTTTTGATATTTAGGCTTTTTTTCCTCCCACTATAAGCAATACTCTGAACCTTTTAAACATAGGTTTTTTGCATTATGTAAATTTAATTTCCGGGTTGAGATATTTACTTTTTTTTTTTTTTTTTTTAAGGACTTCCCATTATATATTTGTGCTTTTTTTAGTTCCCCTTCCACTAATGAGAGGCATTCAGCAAGTACTTAATAACTGTCCGGACCCAAATCTTGATAAGAATAAAAGATGGCATAGTCCAATATAATCTGTGTATAATAAGATCCCTGATCAAACCTTGTTACTAACTTATCTGAAACCAAATAATTGGATCCATTAATTGGATTTATTTTTTGGAGGACTTGGCCAGTTTGGATTGTAAGGAGCAAATCATAGGAAAGGCTAGAATCAAGAACTTTTCTACATGGACAGTTGCATTCCATGGTCACTACATGTTTAGCCTTTTGTGATCTTCATATATTTTTGTACAGTGAGAATTTGTCTTTAGGATTGGCCTTTTATAAAGTTAAAAAGATTATGAATCATTAAAGAGATAAAGTTATGCTCACCAACACATATATGTGTAGCAGAAGAAAATCTTAAGGAGTGCCAAAAGTCAGGTCCTTAGATTTATTTGTTCACAAATTCTACTTTTTCCTCCCCCCCCCTTTTTTTCTTTTCTTTAAGGTTAAACTTTTGGCAAGGCATTACCTTTCAGCTTACTAAAAACTTTTGCTTCACTATCTCCGCTTTTAATAATTGATAGAACAACTAAACAATATCAAGAATGTAAAACACTTGAGACGCCTGGGTGGCTCAGTTGGTTAAGCTTCTGCCTTCCGCTCTGGCCATGATCCCAGGGTCCTGGGATCGAGTCCCACATCGGGCTCCTTGCTCAGCAGGGAGTCTGCTTCTCCCTCTGCTGCTCCCCCAGTTTGTGCGTTCTCTCTCTGACAAATAAATAAATAAAAATCTTTAAAAAAAATTTAAAGAATGTAAAATACTTCAACACTATCAGTGTTACTTTATATCTACCAACAAGAAGAAAGACCTCAAATCAATAACCTAAGCTTCTGCCTTAAGAAACTAGTAAAATAAGAACTAAACCGAAAGGTAGAAAAGAAGAAATAGTAAAGACTAGAACAAAAATCAATGAAAATGACAGTGTAAAAAAACAGTAATCAGTAGCACCGAACATTCATTCTTTGAAAAGAGTAAGAAAGTTTACAAACCCTTAACTACATTGATTATGAAAAAGAAAAAAAAAAAAAGGAAAGGCCCAAATTACCAAAAAGCAAGCATGAAAGAAAGAACATCACTACTAACCCTACAGAAAAGGGACTACTATAAGAAATTGTGTGTCATCAAATTCAACAACTTAGATAAAATTGACAAATTCATAAACTGCAATTAGACCTGTGAGAGTGTAAGTCAGTGATTCTCTATACCACACACATGCACGTTTTGTCTACATTTCAGTTTGCCATTTGTCAGTGCCATTCTAGATGGGCATGTTTTCAATTATGTGATCTCAGTTTTCACTACAAACCTTTGAATCAGATGATACTTTGCTCCATTTTACAGATGAAGTACCTTATCTAGGATCGCAGAAGTAATAGTAGATCTGTCATTGAACTCTGTACACTATACAGTCTATACGTAATTTAGGTTAAACTACTTTGAATATTTTCTTCCCAAGCAGAAAATGGTAAGTTCTTGGTCAGTATTTTGGCACTACTGCAGAAAGTAATCACAGTGTGAAGTTCTCCCTCCTGAGGGCTAGAAGAAATAAGATAATACCCCCAAGTGTTTCCCGAAGTCTGTTAATCCTCGTGATCACCAGAGAACTGTTTCTCTTGTAGGTGATCATCGTCTTGCCCTTCTTTTATCCCAGCTGGTGGGTAGCCAGTCAATCCGGGAGCTGCTTACTATGCAGCTGGTGGATTGGCAACAGCTCCAGGCTAACTGTTTCATCCAGGATGAGAGATTGCGCATCTTTGCCTTATTGGCTGGAAAACCGGTACTTTCCTCTTTTCTCATAAACTTGCATAAATTTTCTGATAAATTCAAGATGGCTTGAGGTAAAGGTAAAGAGCTATCTTTGTAAATTGTATACTGTGACACATAACTAAACAACTTGTTTTTAAATTTTAGTGGAAGTATTTTGAAATTACAGAATGTAATTTCAAATGAAATTACAATGTACAACATGTACATTGTAAAAGAAAACTGGCTATATAGAAATTAAAACATTAAAATTCACAGTATCCCTTATCCTAGTGGTAAACAACATAAATAATTTGTAGTCTCTTTCCAGACATATTGTAAGTCTGTATCAACATATATGTGTGCATATTTACATGTGTGTATATTCCAATAAAATCAGTATAAATGGTTCTGCAAGTTAACTGTATATGGACATTTTTTCATGTCGTGTAGCATCACTCTTTTTAGTAGCCACTTCTGTTCATTTTATGGGTGATATAACATAATTATTTTAAGCCAGTTTTCTTTTGCTGCCTGCCTGATTGACATCTTGATGTCACTTTCCAAAAATGAAATAGCTGGTCAGAATTTATGCACAAATTAAAGTTTTATAAGATGGCAGCTGTAGGCAGTAAGAAGACCTCCTCTTCACTCTCTGTGGTTCTCATCTCTTCTCAGAGTACCGATAGTCTAAATCCGCCCTCTCACCTGCCACCAAGGAATTATGTATTTTATATTTGGATCATTAACACTGCCAGTCTAGTTCATTTAAAATGTTACTTGAATAGGGGCACCTGGCTGGCTCAGTTGGTAGAGCATGCAACTCTTGATCTTGAAGATCGGGAATTTGAGGCCCATGTTGGGCATCATAGAGATTACTTTAAAAAAAGAAATAAAATGTTACTTGAATAAGTGAGTAACTTGCAGATCTGGGCAGTAACAAGAGAATGTATAACACATAGCTGTGATGATGATTTTGTCTCCTGCAGGTATGGCAGCTCACAGAGCACAGGCAAATCAATGTGTGCTCATATTTGGATTGGAAACGCGCCCTGGCTGTTCATCTTTGGTATTTGCTTCCACCAACAGCCTCCATTTCCAGGGCACTCAGCATGTATGAAGAAGCATTTCAGGTATTTATGTCCAGTAGAGCCAACCAAGAGTCATGGGGGGAGTTCTGTTTTTGCCAGAAAAGTACTGCAGAGAAAAAAACATCAAGGCACACTTCATAATACTTTTTCCTAACTGCTTTTTTTGGAAGTACCATAAAATTGAAATGGACCGAGGAAATCTGATGGGAAACTTTTCTCCTGCCTGTGGACAGGGTTACTCTTAAACTTCTCCAAGTGTCTGCTTCTATTTTATTTAGTATGATGTTTCCACAGTTGACCTTCTTAAAGCTGTTTTCCTGCCCCCAAATGAGAGGGGTTTTCTTTATTCCTAATGCTGTTTTATCCTTTTGGGAATTCCCTGAGATACAGCCCAACCTCAAGTTTGGTAATAGCCCCAAATTAGCAGGCCTGAAAATTTTGCCTCTAAATATCATATTTCATATGCCTTGACGGTGTTGAGATTAAAGTATTCATTAATGTGAGGGGTGCCTGGGTGGCTCAGTTGGGTGAGCATCTGACTCTTGGTTTCGGCTCAGGTCATGGTCTAAGGGTCGTGAGATCGAGCCACGCATCAGGCTCTGTACTCAACAAGAAGTCTGCTTGAGATTCTTTCTCCCTCTCGCTCTGCTCCCCCTGCCTCACACTCACACTCTCCCTCTCTCTCTCTAATAAGTAAATAAAATCTTTTTTATTTTTATTTTTTAAAAATATTTTTATTTAT